CGAATCGAACCCGCGACCCTCAGATTGTGAGTCGAGCGCCTTATCCACCTGGCCATGCCGGGCACTCTACAGTTATAAAGCAAGAAGTTATTACTCACAGTTATATTCATAACAAACGATTTTGTATTTTGTTTTCGTAATAATATGATGTAATTATTCGTAGTCCGCGGTTTTGTGTTGGTGTTTGTAACACTTCACGGTCCTCACTAAAACCACTCTAATTGTTTCAACAGATTCAGGAATCTTGTCTGTGTTGCTTTTTCATTTTAAAAATATTACAAAAGTGCCGAAATGCGATATAAAAAATCCACAGTTATGTTTAATAATCATACTAATTCGAAAACATTGGCTTAGGTTAAATAAAATGATTTAAGTCAACAAACAACTAAGTATGGGGAAGTTTTGCAGTTAGTTGAAAGAAAACAATATCCGATTCTTACAGCAACTCAATAATTGCAAAAAAAAGAATAAATCTTGCCATTTTTTTAAAGTTTTTCACAACATAAGTTGTTTTCTTAACTTTTAATAAAAATTTCAAGGTTTTACATTACATTTGTTTTGGTCTTCACATAAATGCTAACCACAGTTCTTGTAAACTTTATATGACCATCGTTAGAAAGTTTATATCTAACCACTCAGTTCATGTTTCTATAAACTTATCTAAGCATTAATGAACGTTTACCGCATAGATCATATAGAATTCTGATTGAACCTCATATTAGACATTCCATTAATATCACTTCCAGTAACCATCTAATCACGAGTAGAGTAATTTTACGTAGTCATTATGGTTATTGAATTTTCTATTACTACTCGTCGCAAGTTAATTTGAAATGCATATAGATAGTCATATGCTGTCACCTCCAGCTGTCGGTCTAGACTCCCATATTCTATTTCTCCTGATACAATCATTTCCAGATTTACATCTACTTTCTATTTCGTCCTTATAGGGATCTTTTAAATCTTCGTTGCGCAGGTCGCCAAAGAAAAGAGGATCTACAAAGAAGAAATCGAAGAAGGAGGTAAGCCGCCAGATTTGTGCTGGCGTTTTAATAACTGAATTGATTTCAGAAAAAAGTACTCGGTAGAGTATAATGACTTTCTGTGCTGGTAATGAAATCTGAATTCTTTCTTTTTTTTTACATTTAAAGTTAAAAATGCTAATCTAGATTTTGACAGAATATGAACTTAATTCTTTACGTAGCCCTGATAAAACTACTTTCAAAGAACCTCTTTTCCTAACAAAGTCCAAGTAGTAAGATTTGTTTTGGAAATCAATCTCTGGGCTATTAGAATACATGACAAAGGTTTTGAAAAAGAAACGTATGACTGGAATTATTAAATGCTGGGGTCTTAAAATGCACAACAAGGGTTTGTTTTAAAAACAAAACGACTGCGTTGCTACTTAAAGTAACTTAAAACCAAACATAGCGTTAAACAATGAATGTTAGACTTTTCAGTTACGGGTTATAATTCCACTGAAAAAATTACACGTATAAAATAATCTAGATAATAACAGCAACTTTCGTCACTTCAAAAATATTCTAAAATTATACCTTTGGTTGTACAATTATTTTCGTTGACTAAAGTTTTTGAATTTAATAAAAGTAAGTGACACTTGTTAGAAGTATTTTTCGTTAAAATTTTTAAAAATTTCTGAGATTCAGGTAGCTAATGCATCTTACAAAATTATAGCTTGTAATTAATTCAGATCAGTGAACTCTTTATGGGCTCGTACTAACAAGGTTAGTTAATTTTTGCCTTTTTTAGCCACTGCATAGCGGCTCATAAAACAGCTCTGCGTTTTTTTTTTTAAATATAAAATGTGAGATAGCCAATTTTTTTGTATTATTATGGTTGTGTTTATCGTTCATATACTATTTCCTTCTATCGTTTTGTTTATCTGTGAATTTTTAGTTGCATTAAAACGCTAACCCACTTCCTACATAATCATTTGTATTTTGAGTAAATATATGTGTGCATGATGAAACTGACATCAGCTTCCCTAGCTGTGACGTACAGATATTATTGATGTAGCAGAAGAGTATGTAAATTTATGATCACACGAGGTTGTACTCTCGTGACCTACTCGGTGAATAAATACCCTACCAGAAGCTTCACTAAGAGAAAGAGAGAATCACAAGATAGTTATTGAAGGATGTAGTTATTGATACTGAAAGGTATTGTTCGAATATTGTATTTGCTGTTGTTTTTTTTTTAATTAGGTTTTTTCTTTCTCTTTTCCTGATTCCATTATTATTGATTTATTAATATTTACGATACATTGTTTACTAATGTTGATGGGAAGTCAAACCCTTTCTATTGATGTATTTGACCACGCTCAAGGTCAAGTAGATTAATTTACCTTAATCCTGCCTAAAATAATTTAAATTTGAGGGTAGGCTAGTAGAGATCTTCATGAGAAATAAAATAGAATCGGGTATACGCGCGCCCCACGCTTGGTATCGCTGGCTCACAAAAATATTGCTTAAAAAAAAAAAAGGTCTCGTAGATTAATTTATTCTAATCCTGCCTAAAAGAACTTCGAGTGCCGCGGCTATTGAGGATCCCCTTTCGTTTAAATATGCAAATCCCGTATCGCAAACCAATTACCAGTGACGTTACGTTTTGTAATTGGTTATTTTATAAATTGCTCTTTATGCCTGTGTGTATGTAAAATCTAAACAGCATTCTAAAAAATATTCATGAATATAGGACAGATAAGTACAAATGTGGTATCATTATCAAAAACGTAAAACCATATCTATCTTAGCAAGAAAGCTATCTTCTGAAATAGGAACAACAAGCTGATAGGGGTACACACACTAGATTTAATCTGTATTTGCAAGTTATAGAGTGAAATGAAACCACTTCCAAAAAGTTAAAAGGATCAATGGGTTTTCGAGTACACAATGTCTTATTACTAAAACTTCTGTATTTCCGGTCATGTTCATGAGAAAATCTAGCTATATATGTATTGAATCCATGTATTGCCGTTTTATTTGCTACTGGTTTTGTATGCTTGATCCTGCTTTGAAAGTTTTTAGCTAAAATGTTCGGGATTGAAAGAATCGGGGTATCAAAGTATTCGTATAATTGTTTGTTCAAAAAATGGTTGCTTTTAGTACGTTATGTTGCTTTGAGACTTGCAAAGTTGATGAAAATATTTAAAGGTTATTTGGTATTTGATATTTTGCAGAAAAAACTTGTATGCCTAGAAAAATGTAGAGTAATTTCACATTTTGAATAATTTTGGTATAAGCCAAGTAGCATAAGTATACAGTTCGAACGAAATAAAGATGCGTTTTGTTTTCAAAAGTACGGAGTAACCTATAAACTTAGATTTTATACTTAAGTCAAAAATAGCCGCTTAGCTTGTTTTACTGGCATTTCCTTCCTTTCACTTATTCACATTGACATATCCAGATCTTTTAGTTGAATGAGTAAATTTACGACAAACAGACTGGTTAAAAAAAGTTGTGTATGCAATTATTACAGCGCTCTTATTCCCTTAAATGACTTCAGTGTGATAGATTTTCTCACTTAACGACTTCTCGGTCTCATTTTGTACAGCAATTCCGGTTATTTTCATTCGGTGACATTGAGTTGGCGTTACCATGGAAACATTGACGTTTGAGAAACGTAATCGGGGGGGGGGGTGGTATATTATCTGTATATCTTAGACTTAACTAATCACATGTCCAACAAGACGATGGACATAGCCCTCAGATTGGCTACATAAACGCAATACTATCTTCTTACCGAGAAAGTTAATCGAGTAAGTTTTTTTTCCTCCTAATACAAAACATACGCAGATAAACTATCGTCACTTTTTACGATCCCTGGTGTCATGTTTAGATATGCACATCAGTATACTAAAAATCAACTTTAAGAAATTGTAGGTCATGAAAATATTTTTCTTTTTATTGATATATTTTTTTATATAACACCGATTTTTTCTTCCTTGTTCTTGAATTCAGAGCCACATGATATATCTTTCATACAAAAATAGCGCCTATTAAACTTTCTTGGCTAGGAGACATGTAAGATTCTGTTAACTAATTATAAAGTTTAATCACTTTTATACGCCTGTACAACCAATCACCTACCCTCTTGTTATGTTAATATTCTTTTAATCTATTCGCATACTCTTTTCCCACACTTGCTTTATCTTTTCCTTCACTATTCACAACCAATTCCTTGACCTGTTCATTCACCCATCCATTAGCTATACAAATTCAACAACTAATTTAGTCACTATACATTTACTAATCATTATCAGCTAGAAATAGTTCAAGGTATCTGTTTATCCGTCGTTTTACCCATTCATTTATTCATTCATATTAGTTGTTTATTCATCCATTCACGCCCTTGCCCACATTTATATTTATTCACAATTTCAGAACTCTTTTTTTTTTGCTGTTTCTCCATCCTTTAATGCACTCATCCACTCATTCATGTCAGTTGTTTATCTGTCCCTGAAATACTCTTGTTAATTTCACCTCGTTATCCATCCTTTTATGCATTATTTCATTCATTGGCCTGTGTATGTTTGTATACAATCACTATAACACTGCATTCTATTTTGTATACACCCACAAAAATCAAATTTGAATGAAGATCTAAGAATGTTCATTCACTAATTACAGAAGTTTTCCAACTTGTATTCTGGATTATACAGTCAGTCGGATAACACTACTACCACCATTTCACACGTAGTATAGGATAGGGACAGTATCTTTATAGTAATATTTTCGACAGGAATGTTGTCTTTTTTCAGAAAAGAATGACTAAAAACCGCACTTACTCGACAAAAATAATTTCCATACTTTATCTTCCATTTGGTATTACCACAAGTTTGAAATACATCCATAGATGTCACATAATAAGATTAAAACGTCTGTTATGATTATAGTAGAGAAAACCATAATGAACTTTCCCAGATACTTTAGGTTCAATTGTTGCAGAAACGTTGGATGTGCTTTTACAGTAATTGCACCTACGAGTAGAGAAATGCTCCACCAAAAATAGCTTAATAGAGAAATTTTTACGTGTTATTGAAAAACCTCTTTATTAATCTCTTGCTCGCCATCTTGCGTTCTTGGTATGCCTTTCATATCTATGTACAGGGGTCATATATGCGTACTTTTTTTTTTACACTGAATCCAGTGTTATATTGTTTGTACAGTCTTTCTTCAATAACTTAGATAGTGAGTCAAATATAAGATTTCTGATTTTACATCAGGTTTTCCAATTTCCCTGGTTCTCGAAAGTACAAAATGACTGATCATGGCATGAAAGGGTTACAAAAACAAGAGAGAAATCTTTATTATGCTTTCATTGCCATTGCTCTGAGTGACGCATTAGTTGACATGAACATCTTTGAATACCTTCAGGAAATATTTCTCCTGTATCGTCTTCTGATATAGAACACACTAATGGAGTATATATATATATATATATATGTGTGTGTGTGTGTGTGTGTGTG